ATTCTCTTGTGGGTCAGCCATCCAACTAACTAAGAGACAAAATGCCCTCTTTTGGAGAGTTGATAACTGACAACCAAGAGAGTCAGAAGGCAAGTTAGAAGAGGTCGTTGAAAAAAAAACAACAGAAAAAATAAAAATTAAATTTAAAAAAATCACCTGATATTTTTGAGGTCTTGCTGTTTTATCAGAGCAGTGAAAAATGTTTTCAAAACATTTTCCGGGGTATGTTAAAGGGTATTTTGATTCAGGTCATATAAGCGTTTATTTTATTTTTTCCCTTCCCCTTGTTTCCATAGCTTGTGCATCTTGTTCAGACAAAGATAGTGCACTGACTCAAGGCTGACTGCCATAGCTTACAGACAACCACAACAACAACAACAACAATATCCAATCTAACACGGAACACAGTGCAACACCGCTTCAAGGCAAAAGGGGCCATGACCAGTGTGAGGAAGGAGAGATGAGGCAACAAAAGCATACAGAGCATCAGTCTGAAGCCTTGCAGCTGCACTGGGTGCTCTGAAAACTAGACAATGGGCTGTAATGACAGCTACCCAACGAAAAAAAAGACGGATAGGCAAAGACACGGACAAAGATGGATACGTCAGACAACGCGACATGAAACTGCCAACTGGGAACTGTGAGCTAATGTCTGCTGATATAGTGAAAGAAAAAAAAAACTTGGGGAAATGATAGCCAAAGAGGGAAAATAAAGCGTGAGTAGGTGGGCAGATAAGCTCAAACCTCTCTCTAGGAGCTGACCTTGAGACAGACAGTCACAATCATGGAGGAGGGAACATTTCTGAAGCATACGTGGTTCAGCCCTACTGAGGTGTGGGCATCCAGGGAATACCCTATAGACAGAGGAAGGCCTCACTTTCTTCTTGACCTTGGCTTTGGTGTCTAGGGAGGTGTGAGACTGTTTAGGACAATGGGACCAAAGGCTGTGGGGGGATGCTGGGAAGGTGAACGTCTCTTGGGGATTGCACTTTGCTTTTTCTGTGCTCATTGCACACCGGTTGGAAACTGCACAGCTAGAAGTCTGGATGTAGCCCCTCGTGTGGTGTCGCGCTGAGATTCCTAACCACTTAGCTGTGGTTGTTAGTATAATGTATTTGCTGAAATAATGCATAAATGTTCACTTGGCTTTCTATGATGCTTGTAGCGAGAAATAGGCTATGCATTGGCAAAGCATGCTGGATTACAACTTTACATTTTATTCTCTCGCTCATGTAAATTAATTTGTGTAAAAGCTCTGGTGGATAAAACCTATTTCTCTGAGCGCTCCAGTCAGTCAGTCCCCCCCCTTCTCGTTCCCGCTCCCTCGCTTTATTGCCCTTCTTTCGCCAGAAACAAGTGCGGGGCCTATTAGCCGAGGCTTGCTAATGTCCTCACTATGAAAACGGATGAGAATGTCTGATTTAGAACTTTTAAGAGAGTGATGTCATACAGCAGACCACAGGCATTACGGGGACACTAAGATTACCCAGGCGGTAACCAGACTAATTGTTATGAGTCTGTTTCATGAAAAATGAATGTGTGCAGATGCACAGAGGGGTCTTAGGGCTGTGTGTGCGTCACACACTAATGCTTTATCAAGGCTCTCCTCTTTCTCTAATCACCCAAAACTCCAAGCCATTGGGGTAGGAGCCAAGTTAATGCCTGAATACAAAAAAAAAATAGGAGAGAAAAAAAAGAAAAAGAAATTACACATCAGTTAGAACACCACATCTGACACACAAAAAATGTGCTCCGCTTAATCTGGTTTGCTCAGAAGGTGAATTATTTAAGAGAATTAATTGATTTCATGAGTACAAGGTTGAGTATGCTAAGGCTGTATGAGTAATAAGCTCAACGGTTTGCAGAAAAACAACTTAAAAAGTCATGAAACATTTAGAGCACAGAGAGAGGCACAATGAATGCGGAAAAAAAAAAAGCAGAATGGCTAATAAATGAGTGAACCAAAGTTGTGTCTTTCAGAGGAGTCAATGAGAGAGCAACTCATGCAAATAAAAAGTGTTATCCTCAGGAATATTTGATCTGCACGTTTCTTGACCTCTCTTTATGCATGAAAAAACACAGACAATAAAAGAGTAAACATTTTAGCTTTTTAAAAAAACAAAAAGGAAAAAAATTTGATAGTTAACTGAGGACAAGCCAATAAAATCTACAGGAATGTGAGGGCTACTGCAGGACGTGTTTGTCAATCAAACTCATGGTGCTGGGGCTACATGTAAGAGTTCATTTGGCATGTTTAATTTAAAGTGTGATTGATTGATTTCCTTCAAAAGTAACACAAAATACCTTGTAGTAATTTACACATTATATATTATTATCAGACAACTAAACATGAAATATAGACTATATTATAGTTAGATTAGCATGCTGGAGTTCCAGCAACACATATGTAAAAATATGCAAATCTTTGTGCCTTCCAGTTCCTTTTAGTCTATTTGAACTTGTAAAATTTAGATTGAACAGTAGTGCTAATCTTTTATTACTTTAAATTGCAAATATGAACATTCTTTTTCCAAAATTCATTAAAAGGATTGACACTATACATTGTAGCTTTTAGACTGTGGAATAAATTAATGTTGGATTGATTTTTTTCCCCCTCCAAATGCGCTGATAACTATAGTGCCTTTAAGACTTGCCTTCATTTGGAAACTGTATAAAATAACCTTATGACCCCAGAGTGAGATCACAGCCTAGTTTAACTTGTGCGGCTGCCTTAAAAAACACACTCATCAAAGTAAGTGTTTGGCTCCAGAAGCACACACACCACATCACACCACAATCTCATGCAATCAGCCGGTCCACATTCTCCTCATAATAGCGTTGTCTGCTTAATTTTTTTTAAACATTTTTTTTAAGCTTGAGCCCATCAGTCTTTAACAACAACAACAAAACCCAAATCTGCTCCATTTTGATAATAAGGCAAGAGCATTATGTGATAATCACAGGAGGGATTAGGTTTTGGCAGAGAGTGTGAGAGCCATACAGTCAAAGCCACTGGAAAAGAGAGATATAACCAAGAGACAGATAAGAGTAGAGCAGTGATGATTGGGATGAGAGAAATGAAGTGAGTAGTCTCCTGAAAATCAATAAGATCAACTTTGCCTTGAATCTCAATGTGGAAGGTTTTGATCTCTGGCACTGATTATTTAGGGGAATAATGGAATTATGTGCGGAGTTGCACAACATACTCTTGAAGGTGCACACAGTCACAAGGTTACCATCCAAAGTTTCAGCTGGTATACACACCTGAACCAGACTCCCGATGAATACTAATTCAAAAACGGCTGGCTGATTGAACACTATGCAGTGGTCACTATACTCATCAACAGCCATCAACAATCGATACGATTTTAAATGAAAGCGTGCAGGAAAAGAGGGGGGACAAGCAAGCGGCTAACACAGAGACAAAATACTGATACAGCAGCGAGGAGCTGATAACATGTGACGACGAGCCTTAACAGCTCGGGGGAAAAAAGCAGACATGCCGCTATTGAGCTTCATGTGGGCATAGAAGAAAATAATGCAGGCTCATGTTTTTTCAGCAGGGTAATGAAGACATATATTCATATATTTACCCATCGCTTTTCGGGGTCGAACTCAATGTAACCCAGTCTTCCCTGAAATGTCAACAGCACTTGTATTTCCGGGTTGTACATCGTCATCCCGCCTCCTAAAGAAAACTCACCAGTAGCGGGTGTGTACGTCACGTTTAAGAAACCCGTGATCAAAATGAGCCAATCGCATAGCGTAGCGCCAAAGCACTGGTTAAAAACTGCATACCGTCTGGGGAAAAATAATTCAAACTCTTCAGTTGTAGCAACGGTACATAGCGACCAACTTGTTAAGAAAAGCCACGGCAATTATTTACTCAGTCTTAAATGTCAAGTTCATTCAAAGTGCCGGGATCTTGATTTGATTTGTTTTTTCCAGGTTACCGTGTACTTGCCTAAACTATAAGATTTTACCAAACCGAGATTATGACTGTTTTTAGCTAGCTTTTTGCAAGCCTTTACGCAGTTGACTTAGTAAACAGGTGGCAGGAACTTTTTGGAGCAATGCGTGCAGCTTGCACACAGCCAAGAAAAAGCTCAACATTGTCGGAAACGCTTAGTCACGCTTCTCACCTGTCTTCTTGCTCAGGTGAAAAAGAGCTCATAGTAGCCAATCAGAGTCCTGAAACAGAGCTAAACATTATTAAAGAACTACTAAACGAGTTCAGAGGGCTTCACGAGCTGAAGTTAAGATGCTTGGAGGAGGACACCAGTAGAAGGGGAGAACTACCACAGGTGAGTAGTTGTTCTACCACATGTGAAACGCACGTTGTGGGTAGCGTGGCCGAGCGGTCTAAGGCGCTGGATTTAGGCTCCAGTCTCTCTGGAGGCGTGGGTTCGAATCCCACCGCTGCCATTATTGTTAGTCCTGGCGTAACATCCGGTTTGACTCCAGGACAAAATTAAGAAGTGTAGCATCAGATTTCTTGAGGGAAATAATAAATCCAGACTTTGTGTTCCCACTTTATACAGCTACGTTGAAACACACAAATCCAATCTAGGTATTTAAAATAAAGAGCTCCTTAATAGTATTGTATTTTTTCCTATTAACATTGGAAACAAATGCTAGTAGTCTTAATGACGATTCTGCACACGCCCTTCCAGTAGTCTGGACCCTGGATTGTGAAAGATTGTTTTTATGGGTTCAGACAATTGCATAAAGTACGGGTTAGCAGACACAGTCTCTACAGCATGTTTAGATTTAGGCTAACATCTATTGTCATTAGGCTATAATCCATCCATTTCAAATCATACAGCATCCTGTCCACCTTGACTCTAACATCAGAAGATGACCTCTGTCTTGTCAGACAAATGACAGGAGGAAGCGCAGCGGTGCTTTCATAAAGCCGCAGCACTTGTAACAGGTGGCAAATTGCATTATGTTTCCATCTGAGCGGCAGAGATCAGGAACACAGAGCCACACTCATATTTAAAAAAGAGAGGTTTCTAATCATCGGGATCGTCATGTAACATCTTTTAGCAACAGAATGTAGCTCGTGTGAGCTGGACTGTGCATCAAAGCAAAAATAACAAGGTTTCAGAATAGGTTATGGTCAGCCGGCCCCAGTCGAGGGCCAGCTTAACAAGGTTATGATGTTCAGAACCCAGGAGCTCCCAAGTCCTAAAGGTTGATGGGAACACTTAATCATAAAGTGTGTCCGCTGAAAATACAACATCCATTATTCCATGAACCCATTGTAGGTTTATGATGTTTCTTAAAATGTTGAAATGTTTGAGCAACCTGCCAGTTCAAGAATTCATTTTTTTTCTTATGCTTTAGGGCACTTATCACAGCTAGCTTTTCCAAAAGTGAAAAGTAAGTAAGAAACAACAACAACAACAACAAACAAACAATGTCAACCCTAGAATGTTACCATACTGTCACATTTGCCATCTTTGTAAAGTTACTTTCCCCGAAGCTAAACATCAGTATAATGTTATGCATCAGGGGACAGTATAAACTGCTTATTTACTTTTGGCTGTAGGGGACAGATGTTTTTCAGCACAGATGTACAGGTGGTCCTCTAAGGCAATATACTTCTTAGGTTTGTGGCACTTCCTTTTATCAGAGGGACAATCATTGTATGTGTAGGGTATCTGGAAAACTGCAAAAGCTCCTTAAGCTAAGTGCACAGGCTTCTTTTTTTTTTTTTAACCTGGAATAAGAAAATAAAGAGTACGTTTAGGTTATCAGTTTTTGTAAGTAATAAAATCTGAACATTGAAATGCCTTCTTGAGTCTTCCCTAGACTTTGAGTGCATGATCACTAAGTATTCCTTTTCCTATGATAGAGGGCAGAGGTCATCTATTGTGAATCTTAGGTGGGCTTCTGTGTGAAAGCCACAAGGATCTGGCCTCTTTGTCTGGCATATTCAGCATTATATAAAGGTTTTGGAAAATGAAAAAGAAAAAAAAAGTTTTAAATGTCACAACCAGTTCAGTGAATAAAATATGTTACGGATTTAGATACTCAAACAGTGCCATAATAACAACAAGGCTTACTGACACAATGTAAGTGGAATCAAAATAGTCACTGGTGGCTTTTGACGATATCCCTGTTTCTTATTCTCTTTTATAAGCTGTTGTATTTTGGCTCGTTCTTCAACTGTTTTATATGTCTCGGGTACTTGTTGGGATAGAATGAGAGCCTGTAGACATCTCACCACCAACATGTTTTGCACTTGTTGTCTTTAGATGTATTTGTTTCAGTTTGTCAGAAAGTTACAGAGACCCCGAACCTGTCCGGCCATACAATTGATCATCATTTAATGTGTGTCAATGCTAATGCTTCATCTGCTCTAAAGATGGGTAAGATGCAACTAAATAAGAAACACATTATTATTTTGTGTTTGCCTGGATCTCTTGCCTTTCCTGTGAGGTGTCACTGGGGATATAGTCCCTGTTTTAACATCAAGAAGGAGTACTACATTTATAAGTGACATGCTGGATTGAGGGGATATATGTTGCTTAACTGCACTGTGGTTAGTGTTTGTGCACATTCCCATATTGGGATTCATCATTTTGACTTTTAATGAACTTTTTATTATTGGATATTTTAATAATAATCTTACTCTGCCCTGTTTATGGTCACCAACTCAGGCCAGCCACTCACTAATCTGTTACAGTATTCACATTTTCCCAGAGAATCTCTAGGCCTGTATGACCTAACAATTACCATAATCTGTGACTGCTGTGTTGGATTATGAATGAGTTGCCTAGCTCAGCAACTAATTAAACACATAAACTGTCAGCTTATTAAACCACAATAATTAACCACTATCTTATCCTGTTGTACTGTTACTCTTACAGAAGAAAGTGGACTTCCTGCAGTCTTACGTGAATGACCTCACAGATCACATCCAGGTGCTTGTTCAGACCATTGAGGATTTGCAAAGGGGAGCTGGACAGAACCATGATCGTGTTTTGGCTGTAAGATTTTATAAATGGCTTCATCTTGACACAGATGTAACTGCGCCCAGTGCTTTTTTTTTTTCCTGGCTCAGAATGGGCTTACAAGAGGTGACTAGCCATGGCAGTAAGCATGACTGATCTGCGTACTCTTAAGTCAAAGTTACCTTGTTACCTTATTTGACAAAAATCGATGCATTTTTCTCTTATTTCTGTTCATTCGATCAACAAAAATGCTATTATGCCTGACTAAGAAAGACCAAAAACCTCTCAGAAAATAATTTTATTACATGATCAAGGGTTAGAGGTCTCTTTTTGTGGCTGACTTAAACCTCCTCAGGTTGCCAAAAATTCCTCTGCGCATGAAAAGCCCTCTTGTTTTTGTTTTTAATATATATCTTCTGTAATTTTAGCGATTTTACAGTGTTCTTTTCTTCCTTAATGTGTATTAGAATCTATCCTTGAGACAGATAATGAACTATTGGTTTTGGGTCTTTGGAAAAACTGCCTAAAAAAGGAAAACTTTGTTATAGGAGGAACTAACAACATCACCACCACTTGATGTAGTGACCTTAAGTCATTGTTCCATTTTAGTTACGGCCAGGCTTCTATCAATATTCTCTCCTCTGAGTGGATTTTACACACAGAAAAGTAATTATGGCTTATTATACACCAAAGTACTTATCTGCCATTATGTAGAAGGTCAGAGGGCTAGCTTTGTGTGCTCTCTACACCCTTACTACAAAGGTCACGCTAACATAATGCTTTGCATTTCTGAGCATTCAAAGCTGCCCAATTTTAACTTTCATCATTTTAAAACTTAATTCTCTTCACTGACATTGCTTAAGCAACACAAATACCGGCATCTCTGCCGTTTTTCTTCCATAGCACTTTCTCAGATTCCTTTATTGAATAAGTTCTACAATATATGTCTTTCTTGCAAATTATAGCACAATACATGCCTACAGGATAGTTTGAAAAGCAAAGACATTTGTTAATTTTCACATTTATTATCAGTAATGGAATTTTAGGAACTTTACTAATTTATTTTTCCATTTCTCAAGCTGATTAAAAACATACAGCTTAAAGGGAAAGGTGAAGAACAATTCGTAAAATTTCTTAAAGTGACATTCTAAGAGTCCTTCAGTCCATCCAATCGCAGTTTTGCTATTGTTTGTGACAACAGCAGCTTCGTTTGGCAGCCAAAGAGACACGCTGTGAGGGAACATAATAGTTTGTTGCCGCTATCGACCCATCTTCTGAGCCTTTGAATCTCCATTTTCACCCGTCTTACACGATGCTCTCACTGTCTGTTTATGCTACTTTGTATGTTTTCAGGGTCTACATCGGTAAACAAATACAAACAAATGGAGCGTCTCACTCAACAGTCTATTAGGATAGTCAGGGGACAGGATAGTCAGTGTGTTTCTGCTCTGATGTCCATAATGCGAAATCCAATCAAATGAAGAGCATTTAGAGCTACTTATGGACCGTTCCACAATGTAAACGATGCAATGAGCTCTGTAATAGGAGCTTGGCTAACGTCTGATTGAATCGTAGTGTATGGTCTTGTTGATACACAATAGGGATGAACTCTAATGGACACTAAACAGAGTTTGTTTTGTGGCCATAATATCATAAAATTCAAGGATTGTATTCTGGGTTCTAGACTGTTACAATTAGCCTTTGGTCTGTGCCA